ATCAATTTTTATCAATTCTTTATTAAGTTATAAATAAAAATATAATTGCAATTTTTTTCTTAACACACTGTATATATGTATGTTTTATATAAAATTAATAAATATAATAAATATATAGTCTTTTTGAAATAAAAAAAAAATTATCAAATAATTTATATTTAAAAATTAAAAAAATTTTTAAAAAATTTAATTGATCTATATGTTTTAAAATATTTTAAAAAATAAAAAATTTTTAACAAAAAACTTTTTGTTATAAAAAAAAAAATAAAATTGATTATTATAATGTAATATATAATTAAATTACTTTTTTTAATTTTCAAAATTTATTAGTTTGTTTAATATCTACAATATTTATATTTTTAAATACTTTTTTAACAATATTTTTTTAAATTTACAGTATCTATTAAACACAATATTTTTTATAATAAATTTATCAAACAAAGTAATACTATTGATTTTAGGTAATATATATATATATTTTCAAGTAAAAAATATTAATATATATATAATTTTATTAAATTATTTATATTTAATTATATAATTACAAAGTTTATTTAAGTTAATATGCTTTTTTACTTATAACTTTGTTAGTTATACAAGTTTATTACTATAGAAATAAACTTATATATCTGAATAAAATTTTTAGAAAATAGAAATACTATTATTAATATATAAACTATTCAATTTAATTTAGATCCTAATAATTATTATATATTTAAAACATATTTTTTAAAATTGATTAAAATATTTAAATAATTTATTTAATATTTTTTATTTGAAATCTTAAAGAAAATATTATATTTGTTATTATTATTTGTAATTTAAAAAAAATTTTTTTTATTGGATTTTTTTCTTTTAAACAAATATCAGATTCAAATTAAAATAAATTCAAATTATAATATTTTTTATATTATGAAATTCACTATATCAATTGGAATTGTAAACTTATATAGAAGTTAAATCAAAAGTTATTCTTTTTGCTTAAATTTAATTTTAATTTACAATTGTCAAAAAAATCAAAGATTCTATCTTTATATAGCCTAACTAAATTTGATTAAAATTTTAATGTTAGAATACTTTATATATAAAAAAACCAATATACCTAAAATTTCTCTTATAAATATTGAAAATCTAAAAGCATTATCTATTGTACTATTGACTTACAGATTACATGTATCTTAATATTAATCAATAATAATAAACTAGTATAAAAAATTTTTTATATATCTCATATATCTAGAATAAATGAAATATATTAGGCAAGACCTGACTAATTGATAAAAAGAAAAAATCTTATTCATTGTATATTATCAAGTTATTAATTATAATTTGATTTATAATAAATTAAAACCTTTTTAACACAATACGTTAATACTTGACATATCGACATAAGAATTTGATACAGTTCCAAGTTGTAGTGTATATTATATTCGAAAACAGAAGTTTGTTACATTGATCATTCATAGTCGATGAGGCCATTAATCATAAATCGGATCACAATGTACAGTTTGGAACCGGGTTTCCAGTTCACTTCTCATATGCAGAAGCATTTCATTTATGTGTATTCATATTTTGATTTTATTTGTAATTTTTTTTATGCAATAGTTTTGGGGTAAGTGAATAAATATCTAAAGGAAAATTGATTATTCAACAATTGATTCTATTATAATCCAGTCAGTCGATATCTGTAATGTAACCAAGGTTACAATTATTAGAATTTTAACTCTATTAACGATTATTCACAATAATATTTTACATTATGAGAAAGGAATTGATATCGATAGATTTTTATAACTTAAAACATACAACATCCTATTGAGCCAAAAGGAATGCATACTGCATCATGGTACTTAATCTTTCGGCAGAAAAATGTAGGGCTAGACGCATGAAGTCATTAGCAACTTTTGGATCATTTTCCAGTAATTTATCATAATCTTCTGTCTTCATCTGCCACAGCACGCATCTTTGATCGGCATATAGCGTTGCATCCCTTTTCCTTTTAGTAAAGAACCCTAATTCACCCGCCAGCGTACCAGGTAAAATACTTTCAACCGGTCTCGCATGAACACCCTCCGCGGCTCTCCAATGTACGCGAAGTACACCGTGATCGACAAGGTAAAGACAATTAGGTGAGTCACCTTGATTCCAAAGGATCTCTCCTGATGGAACATTGACTTCGTGGAAGTATGGCGCTAATTTACTGAAGAATTCCTCATTTTTGTCAGTGTTATCTTGAAAAGTTTCTATTAGAACGGAGGTTGGTTTGTCGTGTTGGGGTGGTCTTTCATCTGTAAAATAGATAACATAATAAATTTTAAACTAAGTCGTATCGTTTTTTGTAAAAGACTTATACAATACAATTTCATTAATACCACGTAGGATCGATTTTCCAGCATCTTGAACGAGATTGTTACGCGGAGATGATATGTTCAAAATTTCTTTGGGTGGTGAAAGTCTGGTAGGTTGCGCCATGCCTTTATTTACTGGTGGAGTGTAGCGTAAAATGAACTGATTGTAAGTTTAACATCCGAAAAGTATGATAACGATTTCCATCACTCACCGGGTTGATCTGTTAATGCCAAAACTGATCGTCTTCTGTTGTAATATACTTCTAGTAACATATTTTCGCACCTTTCTAATGCTTCGTTAAAATTCTCGAAGAATTGTATATATTCTTTCATTGTATCCCCCCAAATTCCGACAGCAGCTAGAGCATTTGCACTTTCAGAATTATGTAGAACGCCACAGATCACAAGATGAACACGTCTTGCTTCTAAAATTCTGTGAATTCTGACAAATGCTTTGGCAGCACTGTAATCCAACCCGGTAACTAAAGAGAAATCTACAATCAAAAATGAAATTGGATTCCTCCTCCATATTCGAAAGGTTAGCACCTGACGAATTGCGTTCTCTACACCATTGATGGTACCAAAGAACATGTAACCTTGCAATTTCATCACGTAAATTTGATTTCCAACTCTTTTAAGAAACTTTTGTTGGCGATAACGGCGTCTAACAATGGATGTTACTGAACTTCCGGAGAAGGTAGCTCGAATAGCACTCCTGCGAGAGTTTGAAACAACGAAGAATATACATGCCATGATTATTCCCAAAAGTATACCCTCTATAAAGCCGAGAGTAGCCATGGCAATAACGATCGCGGTTATGGTGAAGTACTCCATACGATTTACTACGCCCCAAGTATCAACTAACGCCTCCTTCATCAAATCAATGCCCAAATGGAAAATAAGAGCACCGACAACCATGACGGGGACGTAACCTACGATCCAAGGGCCTATTAAGAGAATAATAGTTGTTCCTGCTGCAAGCATCAATCCAGCAACGCGATTGTCACCGCCAGATCTATAGAAAAGAAGAGAATTGGTGTACACCAAGTAATCTACGGATTATCAAAATCTGAATTTAGAAGGAATAATGTATTCTTGGTAAACCTCAGCATGAAAAATAATTAATGCTCACTCTGCACGCTGCCAACGAGTCCGGAAAGTAGGTTTGATACACCATGGGCTACCAATTCACGATTAGTGTCAACGTTATCTTCGTTAAGAGATATTCCTAAGGTCGGAACATTAATTGGGACGTGCAGAATGCCTACAATACAGTTCAACCAAACAAATTAGTTGATACGATATTTTTTATTCGAAGAGATGAAATAACTTTGATCGGAACGTACCAAAAAATGTGAGAGCAAACATTGCCGGAACAGTTTTCAATAAAGCACTCCAATCCACTTTGGAGAAGTCTGATAGAAAGAAGCATGTCAGCACGTTTTTAAAAAATTTTCAATACCTAACATTCGTTACTGACCATAGTAGGTATAGAAACGGTACCAGGGAGCATCGCCTGCAGGCATTTTGAATACCCATCCATCATCCCTCAAGTCGCCCCAATCCAATTGGAAGATGTAGACAATAAGGTAAAAGATAAGGGGAGTGATCATGAAGTAGTATGGAACAACAAGTGCATGGTGAATTTTGTGGCATATTACTCTTAGTAGCAGTGCTAACATTAATGCAGAACCCCACAAACAGAGAGAGTGAAGATTGAAAAGTGCAATTAAGGTTTCATAATTGAATCCTAAGCCACTTTTAAGACCTGCAGAAACCTCGATAGCAGTTGCAACCAGAAACCATCCAACCCCACCTTGATGCACGATTGAGTGAAATCAAAAATTAATCAAATCAATTGATGATACATTTTTATAACGAAAAATCATAAGTTGCATACCAATACATCCGTCGAGAATATGACGTGGAAAAAATTCTATTAAAGATCCGAGCTTTTATTGAAAATGAATTAATTTTCATTATTATTCGAATTTTTGAATAAAATCTATAATATTTTAATAAAATGATTACCTTCAGGGCTCCAAGTAGTAAAAATACAAGACCAGTAAGTACTGAACTTATTGCGAACGATAAGATGGTAGTAGAGATAACAGCATCTTTGTCATTGCCAATTTCCTTTAAGATAATTTCTGCCCTGTAAAAGGATTTACATTGTGTTTATCATTTGCTTCAGAATATAAATTGATCCGAATAATTATATGCGCAAACTTCACTCACATTATATGTAAGAAAGGGACGACTAAAATTGCGTATGAAGAAGTACTTAGTTTTTGGTAACAAAACTCAAAAATTACTAAGAAAAACAATATATATATCGAACCTTCTATCATCATGCTGCCATTACCACCTCCAAATTTGCTAAAGCCGCCAGAATAGACAAGTTGTGAGACGATGCAACTGTAAGTAGAGGCGATAATGTTATCAAATATGATACGTGTCTTTGGATAAATATAAAGATCGTTTCAAAAATTAACAATGTAAATTTTTAATTTTTAATATACCTGACGAAAAACATGGATATCCCGTCCGGTCCCAGAGTAGAGAACATTGCGTTATTTACCGGGAACGTGATTAGACCTGTTAAGAAGACAAGAAAATGAACAAACTGAACACAAATTATATCTTGCTCGAACTAATATTTACCATATGATATGGCGTCCAGCAAGTTTAATAATAGACCAAGAAAAACCGCAGGCAAATATGATATCGGATCTCGAATAAAAATTTGGAATATGTCCGCTGGTGTAATATGCCTCCATGGTCTCGACGGTTCTTCTCCATTGTGTAAGTGGGATTGTCGACCACCGACACAAGGTAGCCATTCGAACCACGATTTTTCAGTCCAATGATTCTCTTCGATAGGAACCAAATCATCAACCGGATTTCTATTTCCATAGTTGCTAAAGGGAACTTCTAGCAACGGCCTAGATTCTTCCTTGGGATCGTAACCTGAATTATTACTTGGTGACCCCTGTATACGTCCATTAACCCTTAATTGCGGGATACCCGAATTATTCGAAGATTGTGATTGAGATTGTACTTGAAGATCAGGTGGTGAGGGAGTTTTTGATTTCTGAAGGAGCAATGATAAATTACTTTGACCAGCGGCAGATGAATCGACAGGTGAATCATTTTTTTTGTCATCTTCTGAAACAAGCTCCAAATCGCCAAGAGCCAATGATTGACTTCGAATATTTAAAGGAGAGGCAGAGTATGACCGAGCTCCCACTAAGATTTATAATTAATTGCGAAATCGAATTTAGGAATTAACAAAAACGTTATGCATTGGCAAAACTCGTAATTACGAATGTAATGATTATCTATCAAAATAATTGAAGATGTGATAGTATGGGAATTCGAAAAATAAATAATAGATGGCATGCAGTCCATAGATTAAGACAATCTTGTGGTACAAATCACATAATAGATCCGATCTCGTGCAGTAAGATGATCAATGATCAATGATCTTTAGATACCAAGTGAAACACCGCAGTATGAGGAGATCACAACTCGTAAGAATGAAAAAAAAAAAATATATTGCACGCTTACCAGACAAACCCATAGAACTGATATAAGAACGAGAACCGAAACCCACATTAGGACTTTCTATAGAAGTAAATTGCAGTCCTTGCATTACATTACGACCTGAGCCAAAGGAATGTTTGCTTTGAGAAGGACTGACGGGTGAATTTATTATGGGAAGACCCTCTTCCTGGTTTCTTTCCATGTTTTGTAGGAAGTTTAGAAGCTATGAACACATGAAAAAAAATAGATATATATATATATAGGTATATATTTTGTTCAGGTAATAACAATATTGAATCCTTAGGATAACAAGAAAGGGAATTTGTAAATTAAGGGTTCTTATAGTTTATTAAAAGGTGCCTATCTACGGATTCTATAGAATGTGTGCCTATCTATTGGTTTCTGTGGTACCACTCTAAAACTACTGCGATAATTTATCATGGCAAGTACAGGAAAGAAATAAATAATATTGCAGATGTGATATGCATAAATGTTTCTCCACAAGGTTAATCTTTTTGATGAAGGTACTGCGCTTGATTTTACTGCAGATGTTGATGGAATATCAGATATACTATATTGGGAAAGGTCGGATTATTAAATTAAAAAACAACAAGATTGTTGAGATTAACAAACCACCTGCTAGAAATGTTTAACCAGCTTTTTATCGTCGAAAATCATAAGATCTCGCAGAAAAGATGGTTTCATCACCCCATGTTTAACATACTGGATTCCGTTTGTCATCAGTTATATAAACATTAGGTTCGATATGACGTTATTAGAAATCGGTTTGAGATGGTAAAATTAATCAAAATAATTATATTTACTAACATTTTATTAGAAAAAAGGTTAAAAAATTTTTTGATTCGTAAGAAAGGGATTGTAAAATTAAGGCTTAGGAATTTCCAGTAAATCCATGCATTCGGTTGGTGCCTTGCGAACGCCATTCCTAAGGGCAATGGCGATATTAAGCGCGTGATCTACAAGGGACAATGAATATGAAGCGGCTACTTGTATTTAAATTTTGCTATGTGAAAATAAAAAGGAGGGATCTATAAAAGTAAAGTACTAGAACCTTATAAGGAAGATATAAACCTATAAGAAAGATCGTAAGATGGTTAAAAACAGCCGAGTGAGAACAAGTGCCACAAGGTACGGAAATGACCAACAATATCACTGATAAAAGGTCCCTTACATTCACATCCAAAGAGGTAATATTGCTACAGTGATGACAAATTGTACATATACGATCGACAGATGTGCACAATTAAATTCGGAGGCACAAAAAGAAATTGGTACAACTTTTTGTTTGTACATAGATTATAATTGTTAAAAATCGATCTACGATTTTTAAAATATCTTACGGTAATTGATATTAAAAATTATTGGTTAAAAAATAATGTACTGTATAACTTTAACTATTTATCTTAATAATTATAAATTTTTTTTCTGACAATAAAAATATCTTTTTTTAATATACTATATAAAAAAAATAATTTTTAAATTTATATATACAGTGGTGATTATAAAAAATAACAATTTTTTTTTAAAGAATTTTTATAAATAAATAAATATTAAAATTATATAAATAATATTAAAAAACTTTATAAACATATTTTTAAAGTATAATAATAAAATTATTTATTTATTTGTTAAATAATCTTAATATAATAATGTTTATTTTTACAGGTGTATTGTATAGGTTCAATAAGTTTAATCTTATTATAGTATTTCTTAATACAAATTTATAACCATTTTCTGTATAGAATTAATAAACATAATAGGCATATAGCCTGATTTGAAGCAAAAAAATAATAATAATAATATTTATTTTTTATTTAAAATTTAAATTAAAATGTATATTATTAAAATTTTTATAAAAAATTAATTAATAAAATAATTTTGTAAAAATATTTGTAAAAGATTAAATATCAATAATTTTATTAAATTAATTAATAAATAATTTTGTAAAAAAATATTTGTAATATTTAAAAATTCAAAAAAATATTTTTTCAGTTTTTATATCTAATTTTATATATAAAATTTTATAAGTAAATTGAAAAAAATAATAAATTAATTAAAATATTTATTAAGAATATTTTTTTGTGAAAAAACTTTTGCAAATTTTTGAAAAAATATTTAAAGATCTTTAAAAAACTTCAAAATTTTTAATAGTATAATAATTTGAAGATTTCTGAAATAAATATAAATAAAATATTTAATTGACTTTAAATATTTTATAAAAAATTAAATTGATTTATTTTTCTAAAGTATTTAATAAAAAAAGTATAAAACAATATTTTATTATAAGTTGTTTAAAACAAAAATCTTTAAATTCTTTTTTTTTTTTTTAAAAGAACAGGTGGTCCTTATATGTTATTTTTATTTATAATTTTAAACTTGCAAATTACAAGATTTATAATTCAATAGTGTAATATACATCTCTCTTTGTCAAGAAAAGTTAAATACCAGACTCACTGAAGGCTCTTCCACCTAAGCTCCTTAGCATCACTCAAGAATATAAGAAAAAGAAATTCAAAACCTATATTATGCCTTGAATGGTATCTAGCTTTCTAGAAGAATTTGAAACCTAATCACATAAAGGTGCTGCAGCCACTATATACAGGTTGGCCTCCAAGTCATGACTAGAATTGGCAAGCTTGCTTTCCAAATGTGGCTTGATGTACAGCAAGCCGAGATGTGTT